TTTGGTCTTCGGCCCACTGATTCCTTCGGTGGGTGGGTCGGGGGATATTGACGTGATGTTTATGTGGGCAAACCTTTCTTAGCAGCCTAAAAGCACTTCAACTTGAGGAGTTGTTGAGGAAAACGAAGTTAGGGAGGTGGAGAAGCCAACATGGTATGAAAACAGAATTCGTCATGCTTCCAGTTTCCGAACTGCACGGTTCCAGTTTCCGAATTCAACTTTTCGAGCTTCCGAACATCACGTATCTATTTTTTGAACCACAGTTGCCGAATCTCACGTTTCTCGTTTCCGAACTCCACGTTCCTAGTTTCCGAACCCAAGTTACCGAACTCCATGTTTCCCGTTTCCGAACTCCTGGGTTTCAATTCCGAAACCCACATTCTAAGTTTCCCAAGACAAGTTTCCGAACCCTTCTGAACCCAACCTTTTAGTTTCCGAACTTGACGCTGACCCTACCCCTAACCATGCTTTTGGTTTGGACAGCGAGGGGTGACAGGTGGGTTCGGACAAGGTAGCAAAATTGGGAAGCGGAAAGGGACAACCTGCATGGTACTCAGAATAGACAACTGGCGTTCAGGACCCTACTATGAATAGACTGAGGACTAAGCAGACTCATCCAAGGTTCTGTACTTGGTTTTAGTTGGACTGGGTCATATATGCTTCCTTAGATTTCAGTCTTCAATCCGCTTATAAAGCAAACTATTGGCTTCCATGGTCCTTCGAAATATACTATTTATACTTGTCTTCTCAACCAATCATCCACCCAGCACCCCCCAACCGAACACCGCTGGCCCCCTCACCCGAATTCGGCCGACCGGCGTCCGTCTTCCGCGCTAGAGGTATGGCTGTGGCTTCGTGAGCCGCGAGGACTTCGTCTGGTTGGATCACTGGCAGCCGACGGAGTGGATCACCGCGAACCCCGATGCCGCGGCTTGGAGCGGGAGAAGCTTGCGGGAGAGACGGAGAGAGACCGGCGCGCGCGGACGCGCCGAAGGCGAGCGTCCTGCGCGTTTCGAGGGATGCGAGAAGATAGGGAGAGTGATCCGAGAAAGCACCGCATGTGAGGATGGCATATGTAGGTGAAATGCACCCAGCTCAGGAAGAACAAACACCATGTTGTTGTTTTCTGTTTTTGATCCTTCTTCCTGCAGTTTTCCAATGTTTGTTTGGATGTGTATGTCAGGTATGAGTCTGCCGAAGGTTTCAGCTTTTGTTCATTTCCACTCCAATGACCGACCTTGACTTCTTGGACACTTCTTCGGTCCACATCCCGCAAAAAAATCGAGGTTTTGTGCCTCCATTGCTTATTTTTTATTGTGATACCTAAAGGCTAATATAACTGGCCCTCGGGAAATTAGACCCGTCTTGGATCTGACATCTTTCATGTAGTCGAACCTTCACTGGTCACTGATTCACTGATCCTTTGATCTCCCAAACATGCGATCAACTTCTTCACGTCGTCGAACGGGTCCAGCGAATTCGCATCCTTCTTTCAGCCATCCTTCGCACCCTTTCGAGCTTCGCCTCCCCAGGAAGAGTTTGCGATCCTGAAGGCTTTGCTGGTCCGTGCCTGGGACGATCGGAGGAGGATCGTAGCGGACAGCCCCCCCCTAGCTTTTGACCGAGGTTCTGCGTGGATCTTTCGAAGATTAAAGGAAACGACATGTTTGACACCAGTTTCATGGGGTGAGATATTTAACATGATGCAAGAGCAACTTCGCTGTCTCCAATGGGACACTGTGAAGAACGCAGAAATGGCAGAAACCGCAGATACACTCCACAAAATGGAACCAAATGAACCATGCGACCTCTCTTCATTTGGATCGTCCAAACGGACCATGCAACCGCTGCGGTGCTCACGACCGTCACGAGAGCCGACGACCGTCGCCTCCACTCCAGAGGCCTCGAGGGCCATCCATTGAGAGCCTGGCGGAAGCGTCTGGACCAAGACGTGCCTCGGCGACGGGCGGCCGTTCCGACCGATGGCCACGGCGAACTCTGAAGAGGTTTATGACGGCACAGGTCACACATCACACCCGGCTGGATCCGGCTGGCGTGGCTTTTCTCGGTGATTCTTTGGCTGATTCGATTGCTGGAGAGGTTGGTGTTGCGAGGCGACACCAGCATCTTGTCAGTCTTCGTCCCTTTCACCTCTGTTTCGTCTCTTCCTTGTCTCTCCACGGAGAACTCGAACACGCCTTCACCGTCTCGTCCCGTGGCCCCAAGGACTCGAACAGCGTCTCCTGGAACGAGTTCCGGCGCTGCTTCGAGGAGCTGAATTTCCACGGCAATGTCGCGGGTGCCTGGAGGCCGTTTACTGCCGCGGAGCTGTGAGTTGGAGCTGTCTGGAGTTTTGGTGACCGGTGTGTGCAGCTGGATGTTGTTTTTGATATGAATCAATGAGATCATGAATCGAGAGATTTCTGTACTTTCCAATGATTTTGCATGATTTTTCGACCCAAGAGATACCTACTTGTGTGCCTTGCGTTGTATGCTGTGCAGAGTCGAGGCATATCGATGAGGACATGTCAGGGATCATCAGCTTAAAGGCGTCACTGGGCCCAAAACCCGCTGTGACGCGTGGCGTGAGGTACTGGGACAAGATCTGGGTGGCATGGGACCCGTTACTCCAAGAAACCACCTGGCCGACCAAAAACCGACCATTGTTGTTTCCTCATCTGTCGTGAGGACAGATACGACCATGTGAGTTTGATGTCGGACAGATGTCAGGACGTAGCTTCATGAGATCCATTCATGAGAACCACATTCCAACGGCTGGACATTTGCCATGGTTTTCCGTAACATCCAGACCACTCGGAAACACAACCAGACCACACAAGTTTTCCGCTTTTGAACTTGTTCAGAAATCTGTTCTTGGTCTCAAGACCCTGTTCTTCACTTTCGCAGATCCGAGCTGCACTGCCCGTCACGGCGATTCACATGAAATCGCCACGACGTCTGACTTGGCCCGGTTCTATGGTGGTGCATGTTTGCTTCCTCAGCTTCTCATTTCAGCTGGATTGCAGCCTTCCAAAAAAGGTCAACCCCTGCGGTTGTTTCAGCATGGTAGCATCCCTATCCCTGGACTCCGAAGCTTCCGAGCTTCATCTCGCGGTGGTCTCCCAGCGACGGGGGGGCCGACCTGTGTGGCCCATGGTCCTGCCAAGCTCCGCAGCGCCTGCGAACGCGCGCGCGCTGCGAGCGGCACGAGCGAGATGGTGCCTGCGCAGTGGATGTGCCTGCTAAGTGCCTTGCCAAGAAGACGCAGCGCCATGTGAATTTGGATCGGCTTCATCTCTTCATGTTCCTTTGTCTTTGGGAAGATGGTGCGAGAATAGGAGCTTGTTGACCTTGAACTCATTTTTCGAAGATGGTTTGTAACAAAAATGAAGTGGCCGGGATAGAGAGTGGGTCAAGGGAAGACTTGTCATAGGAGAGTTTAGGGAAACAAAGCTCGAGCCTCAGGCTGCCCGGTATTGGACTGTGCTACTGCAGAGGCAAACCAACCCATTCATGAACCTCTTCAAACAGTCTCAAAAAAGCAGGACCATCCCAAAACACTCAAGTTACGGGTTCTGCAGAAGTTGTTAGCATTATTCGCTCGGCTCTCATGTCCAGGTACCACTCGACTTCGTTTCGCTCCGGACCCTTCCTCCTTTGGACATGCCCTGCTGGCCCTGCCTGGCCTTAGCGATGATGGGTGGTATTCCGCAGACTTCGCTGCGAGCAGTGCAGCCAGTGCGGCAGCCAGTCTTCACCGGCAATGCGGCCGCACGCTGTCCAAGGTCTACGCCGCTGGCGTCAGGTGGCTTGGGCATGGAATTCTGGAGGGCCGAGGTGCTGAGCACCGGCAGAAGCTGTTGGCCAAGAATTCTCCGAAGGACCCCAGTTGGTGCTTTTTTTTTTCCCCACTTTTGTTGGGGCTCCTGGCCTTACTACGAACGGAGCAACGACGCGACGAACGGGGCTCCTGGCATCGCTGCTTCTTTTCCCCCAAACCCAAACCGTCCAATCAAACACACCCAGGTGTGGAGAGCTGTCCTTAGACTTCAGAGGGACCAAGACCAGCAAGGCCAATGTCTGGTTGTCCGAGCTGGTTTTCTGGGCCGCGAGTCTTGCAACAGCGGAGACCAGGCTCAGGCTGCTGCCGGCGACCGAGCCCTTATTGGAAGTGGTCGATGAATCTGTAGGAGTCGAGTTGGGAGTCGAAGACTTGTTGAATAGCTTCGATGGCACAACCCACTCAAGTTTGGTGGTGAATATTGGCATCCCAGTCTTTTGGGATGCTTCAGGGCCGGGTGCGAGGGATGCTGTTTTTCTTGGGGTGTGCCCATCAATTGTTCAGACTCTTCACGCATAAAAAGCAAACACCATCACAGTCATGTAATGATCTAGACTCAGTCAGTGCATCCCTACTAAGAACAGCTAGTAGTAACAAGCGCATCGCTACTATAGTAGCAAGGGCATCGCTACGAACGTAGCAAGTGCATTACTAGTAGCAAGAAGCTACGTCCGTAGCAGTTTCTTCAAGGACGCTACTAGGAGCAAAGGGCATCGCTACGAACGGAGCAAGGACGCTACGAACGGGGCTCCTGGCCGTACTAGGAACGATGTTTGCTACTAGAAACAAGAAGCTACTAGGAACAAGTGCATCGCTTCTTGTAACAAGTGCCTTACTAGTACGCTACTAGGAATTACTAGGAACAATGTTTGCTATTAGAAACAATAATTTTTTGGGCATTGCTCGCCAGGACGCCCGTGGCACCTGGGCTGCGAGCGTGCCGCGCAGCCGACAGAAGCGACGGCGGACGACCCGGCGGACGACAGAACGGCTGTCTCAGCGTCTCGAGCGTGTCGTTTTCACCCGGGCGACCTGGTGGGGTGAGGCCAGTGCATGTTCAGTCTTTGATATTATTTTGTGAAGCTCCTAAGATCTTGACAGAGGGTCAGAAGCGACCTTTTGCACGCCCACACACTCACATGAGGGGTCTGTCTGTGACATGTGCGCTGGTTTGATGGATGCCTCAGGCTATCTACAGACCTTGGAGATGATTGATCGTTCCCAACTCACCGAGACCACCATCGATGGGACCTTGCGACTGGTCACGGTCTTTGGCGACGCGACGCAGACTGCGGAGGCGCCGACCGGGTCGTATGAGGAGCGACGTGCCACCAAGGAGGGGTGTTGCGCAGATGAAACGCCACGGGGGATGTGAAGTGAAGAATTGATAGATTGGTCTTCTGACGGGTTGGAGCCTGGGGCTCAATTGAAGGGGCTGCTCGGAGACTGGGGCTTTTTGATGCTTTGATCATCTCAAGGCACCCAGGGCAAGGAGCGCATCTCTGATCAATTCTTCCAAGCAACATCTGGTTCAATCGATGGCACCTACAGCTTCTCTGCCCCAAGGGCGGCGCGCCCAAGGGCAAGGGCGGCGCCCTCACCAGTGCTTGAGGTCGAACTGGTCGTCCGTGACGCGGATCTCCCTGTCAGGAGATCTTGAACGATCTGTCCCAGAACGCGGAATTCTCCAATGTGATGGAACAACGAAAGAGTATCGTTCTGGTGCGAGGAGCGCTCGGACACCAGGTGGCCCAGTTTCTGTGCCGGGCTTTGGACATGAGGCGCCAACAAATGATGTGGATCGATGCAGTGGTCAGACTTTCTTTACCTTCCATTCTGCTGCCCGCTCTTCTTTTTCTGCCATTCTCCAGTTCAGTACCATGATTCAGTGAAGCCAGATATGAGCCCTCAAACGGTACAAGCACCAGCTTCACTCATAAATAAACAAGTACTTTTCAATCAAGTTCCAAACCAACTCAAAAGCATGCGCTTGAGTAAAACAACACGCCTATTTTTTTCAGAATCCGTTCTGCTCCTGCAGGTGTAGCATTATCTGGCTGTTGGACTTGCCACAAGACTTTTTGCTGGCGCGAGCTGAAGTGATGGCCAACTACAGTGAGGACATCAAAAGCAGCCGAGCGGTACCTTTGGCGGCCAGGTTGTTGGCCTTGGATGTGGAAGGAAGGTGATCCGAAGAACCGGGGTGGCAAAGATAAGCTGGATGAGGCAGCTGGTCCGAACCTCTTTTTTGGGGGACAAGCCTCTTTTTTGTTCTTTCTTTAGATGGCTTTGGCATGTTTGGTTCTATACCAGAGACACCTCAAAGTGAGGGATGAAGGGAGCAATAGGATCCATCTTAAGATTTCCCCTAATTTCCTTCTGCCCGCAATTTCGGGCACTTGGACGTTCCCAACTCCGTCCCCTCCCAACTCTGCCTCCCTCTTCTTCGCCCGAACTCCTCCACGCGGAACCAGGGAAAATAAGCACTGGAGCAAACGGAAGTCCCAAGAGTGCAATGCGCATTCAGGAGGCCATTGGTTCACGGATTGCAATTCACAAAGACTATCGCGTTTCGCTGCGCCCTTCATAGCTGCCTTAGCCCACAGATCCGTTCCACAGATTCTAAGTGCCTTCACCAACGGCCCGGGCGGCCCGGGAGCAAGGACGCTACCAGGAGCAAGGATGCTATTAGTAGCTCCTGGCCATACGACTAGGAGCAAGGACGCTACTAGCGTCCTTCAGCCCTCGAGTTGAACGCGCAGCCACTGGTGCAAGTCAGCCCCTCAACCACTGGTGCTTCATGTGGATCGGTGCGAAGGATCCTTCCGCAGGTTCACCTGTGGAAACCTTGTTCCGACTTCTTCCTCTAAGTCTTATAGCTGCTAATTTTTTTAGTAGGTTAGGGTCTTGTTCGTGAATGGAATCAACCAGGCAGATCACTCCACCAACTAAGAAAGTCAAGAAAGAGCTATCAATCTGTCAATCCTTACTATGTTCGGATTCGGACCTGGTAAGTTTCCCCATGTTGAGTCAAGTTAAGCCGCATGCTCCGGATAAGTTTTAGCCTTGGGACCATCCTTTTCCGGAGCCCGAAGACTTTGATTGTTTGCAAGGTGCTGAACGAGGTTATGCAACTAGCGACCTCCAATCTCTAGTTGACATGATGACGCGATGCATGGTTAAGACTAGGGCCATGTCTGATCGTTTTTGACCCTATCTCAACCATCACCTCAGCTAGAAACCAATGTCATCAAAGCGCGCGCTTGCTTGAAGCACTCTAATTTCCCCAAGGTAAATGTTTCAATTACCGCCATAGCCGAGTGACCGAGGTGCTGATCCTCCCCTTTGACCGCTACGACCTGAGCGCTACGACCTTTGTGGACGGAACGAGTTCCGCGACGGAGGAGACCGAGCCGCACGGTGCGTGGGAACATCCGCATTGGGAGGCGCAGGGAAGCGCACAAATCGCCCGTGGGGTGAAATTGTGGGAGACTGGCAGAAACGGGACGTTTTTCCGAATATGTCAGTCTGCCTCACCATTTGATGTTCGACCCACATGTATTTCTTGAACATCTTCCTACTTGAATGCTTCCCCACTATTGGTGGAAAGTGAACATGAAACCCCAAACAAGGACTTCAATAAAGATGACTTTGGGGGGCGATGAGATTGTAGTTCCTCCATGTGCTTTTTGCCCTCAAGAGAAGCCACTCATGGCCATGACTTGGACTATACGTACCCCAGCACACGTAAGCCCCTCTTGAGGCTTTGAGATCGGACTCGGTATGAATACTACCCTGTGTCACCTGCCGGTTTGAAGGCAACCGAACGGACCTGGTGGTGGAACCGGAGAGAATTGGTGGAACCGACTCCCATTTCAGGGCGGAACCGGAGGCCAGGCAGCGCCACGATTCTTCCTTTGCACCCATTTCAGGCACTGGCTCTCTCCTTGGCGCATGCGATGGCCCTGGAAGCCGAGGCGCCGTTTGCTTGACCCTGTGTGCCAGACAAGACCAACAAAATGGATCGCGAAGCTAGTCTGATTTCTGAGTGACGTTCCAAAGATCTTTACATATCTGTATTGTTTGCTTAGATTCATGGCCGATGTTCTGCAGTGCGGTTCAGAATCAGCCAAGCTTCGGGATCCTAAGGGATCCTACGGGTCAGGATGCCCCCAAACGGCCAGATCGAATTGATGTTGCATTTGGACGCTTGTGCGCTGAGCTCACACGGACAGGGGGTCTCCCTTGACATGTTGGACACTTGAAAGGATTTGAAAGGAAGATCTGACTTCTTTGGGCCGGTCCCGCTATTTGGAAGCATACGTGCAAACATCTTGGTCGTGACATGATGTGGATGGGGGCCAAAAGGAGGGTGCGAAGGGCGAGAATTGAATTCTTCGCCTGGGAAGAGGTGGTTTTCCCTCGAGACACATGCTCTTTTCCAGCATTCTCCTGGATCCGTTTGGTCAGTTTTCCGTGGTTCGTTCGAGCAATTGGCTCGTGTAGGAGGACCTGGTCTTGCATGTGGCGCTTCACCACGATCTCACTGATGCCAGCGACGATCTGGCCGTGGTGTCTTGCCGACAAAGCTGTCGAGTGGGCTTCGTGCATGGGCTGGCACATATGGAGCAGAGGCATTTTGTGAAAACTGGACTGGCCAGTGGCATCCTGTATGGAGGCCATCGATGCTGGAAAGGATTTCTTTCTTATGTTCATTGATGTGCATTCTGGGATTTGCACAGGATGTGCTCTGGGAGAAACAGGCGGAAGTTGCACCCCAAAGGCTCAGTTCGCAGAATCACATGGTGTTCCCCCTGTGGGGTGAGACACCCGATGCTTCGACACGTTACCTTCGATGCTTCGACACTTCGACACCGGCACCGGAGGCTTTGCCCATCAGACGCTTTTTCAGAGCCTGGATCTGGGGGACTTTGGTAGCCAGAAGTATTGGGGCTCAGCCGCTGGTCACCTGAAGCTGAAAGGCTTGTTCTCCTGGCTCCACCCCCACGCGAGGCGAGGAGGGCGAGGGCGTCCGGCACAGCGCGTGGGTGGCGTTTCCGAGAACCTTTTTGCAAGTGATTTGACAGCTGGACTCAGCTCACCCCACTTGGCCCCGGTTTGTCAAACGGATCCGTTCAGGCTGCTTCATGACTCCAAAGGTGAGACCAAACGACATGCCCCCCCCCTCTCGAACTGACAGGAGAATGAAAACTCCACCTTACATTCCTCAGCCTTTGGTCCTTCTCAGGCACATGACTGACTTGACGCAATTCGGGCTCTACGTGTTGGAACGCCGGAGACTTCCACTGCTCAGCGAGATCAATGCCATTGTCTCCATGCCCGGCAGCTCGTTGAAAAAACACGCAAACACGTCGTGCGAGTGAAGTACTCCATGCGCACCGGGTTTCGGGGGCGCGTTGTTTCACGGGAATTCCACGTTGTGCGTGATGTCACTGTCATGTCATGGCAAAATTGATCAACATGATGTATATATACAAACAAACTTGCCTTTTAAGATCCTTTAAGCCTAGAGTTTGAAAGGGACGCTGTTGATCCTCTTGGTTTGCCTTCAACACACGGACTCAAAGACATCAGAACACATCGAAACAGCGTAGGGCACGTTTCCTTTTGGGCCCTCAATCTCTTTCATCAGTCTTTCATGCGTTCCACAGCCCAGCTACTAGTTATACTTTAGTTGTACCGGACCACCGGCCAGTAGATCTGCAATATTCTGCAAATGTCTGCAAGATTGATGTGCAACAACCTTTTGGCTTTGCCAAGCCACATGCTCTTCTACAAGAATTAGTACACTAAGATTTGTTGTTCACTGCTCTTTGTGAGGAAGATTCGGATTTCTCTTTCGGAATTAAGGCATTGAAGGAAAACACAACTACTCGGGGTTGCAGGACGCTTTCCTGCAGGACTTGGAATCTCTCGGTCAACTCACTCGGCACAATCTTCGACCTCCCCGACGTCCGTGTTAACCTGGATTCGACCGAGCCGTGCGCCGTTCCGACCCTGGGAACCCGACCCAGGATCGGGACAGTCCTATGTGCGGATCCTCTTGGAGCTCATGTCTGGTCGCCCCACTCGGGCCCTGGAGTCCTTCTATGCGCGCCAGGGACAGAGCCGCTCGGCCGGAGGCGGTCGGGCTTCTCAGATAGGCCTTTTGGCCTGTCTAGCTCCGGGGGTTGGCAGCAATCATGTGCGTGAAGCGACGGACTATAGCACATGCCTCAGTGGTCAATTTGCTGCTAAGCTGCTGAAGCTGCATGCACATGCCTTGCTGCTGCCACATAAGTACTCTGTCCTTACAACCGCGCCACCGTGTGTGTTGACCTCCTCTTCGCATGACCGCGACGGACCAAGAACGGCTGCGGCACGACGGTTTGCCCGAGGTCTGGCGGAATGCTTCCCCCAGTTGAGCTCAGTGGATGTGAAGGCAGAGCCATTGGCTTGGGTGGCGCATTCCATCTTCGAAGCCCGTGACCTGGCAAAGGGAGGAGATGGAGGCAACAAAAAGCAACAAACCAACAGTCAACGTACTTCAACCGAGCTTGGTGGGAGCCAATCTGGCTAGCCAATGAAGGGCACACTGTTCATACCCATGAACACAAAGATTCAGTAGATGGCAATTTCCTGTTTGGTGGTTTCCATCCAGTCCCAGTCAGCGCAGATGCCTTCCTGCGGCCCAGGCAAGATCGCAGTCTTGTCAGAGGTGAGGTCCCTTGTTGTGATTCTGCGCGATTATGCCAGCCTGTGGCTGCGGACCAAACTCTCGAAGGCGTCCTTGAAGATGGAGGACTTTGTGGGAGAATACATGAAGCTGGGTGAAATTCACGACCCGGGTATATAGAGGAACAGCTAAGAGTTCTTGATCATTTCTGAGTTTGGGGGACCCATGGATTTTGGCCAATGCCTTGGTTTGGAATCCAAGCAAAACACATGAGCCGCAAAGATTGAAGACCCCTTCGAGAACTGACAGATGAAGGGCATGTCGGGGCCCACAGGCTTGGGTTGTGCTGGGAGCCATGTTAAGACGAAAACCGCTTAGAGCTTACTTCTTGCTACTAACTACTTATTAGCTACTAGCTAATACTCATAGCTCACATGTAAAAATGCAATGGCCTCCACCCTACTAGCGATGGCCTCCAACCTAATACTCAATACTTGAGACTGGGGATGGGCATGAGGTTTCAAGACATCTCGTAGACTTTCACCAAGATTCTTATCGCGGATAAAGTCATTTTGACACTCCCTGAGAATGACATTGGAAACAGGCACTAGCAATAGGAACTGACAGCAACCAGCAGTAGTAAGCAGCCGTGGCAGTTTTAGATGAGCAGCAGCACTGGTAGCAGTAGCACTAGCAAGCAGCCTCGCAGCCTGGCATTCGGATCTTCCAAGTCTTCCAACTGTCCAAGATTCGTCCAAGGAACAATTTGGAGACTCTGCCCTGGGTCTTGAGTGGCAAGACACTGGTGCTCTATTTCGAGGAGCTCGTCCGAACCACCACCTTACCCAGCAGCCTTCTCGAGGCCGCCCAGCGGGGGGTTCGGCTTTCGGGGTTCGTTGGAGCCGACGGACTGGGTCGGTGTTGGGACCGCATTGGCACCATGTGTGGACTAGACAGTGTATGTCTATGTCTATGTCGTCTATGACAATGTGTAGACTAGACTATGTCTATGTCTAGTTCCATCTATTTCCTCATGCGCGGAAGCACAGCGCAGGTTCTGAACCTTGACCCAGCGCGCCTGAACTTGGAGGATCACTCCGAAGTGCGGACCACATCGAAGCTGAAAGAGGTCGCGGACCACTGTGATGAGTTCGCGGGCGGCTGCCATGCGAGCTGTCGTAATCTAAAGGTGGCCTATGGCAAGTCAATGCATCCGCAACCATCCGCACCCAAATCAATGTCAGCCGATGATCTGTCGGAGATTTTTCTTTTGGAAGAGTTGCTCTGTAAGAGGACAAAGGGATGCTTTCTCCTGTTTTCAGTTGTGTCTTTCATGTTTTTCCTTGTTCAGGCCACAGGCCCTAACCACGTTTTCGATCTGCTCGCCCTGCAAGGAATCCAGAGAACGTGAGGAAATTCCTGCTGCGGAAAGGTTGGGGGAGCGGTTTCCTCTCAGGATGTCGGGGCCGCCTCGCCACCTTTTACCCTCGCCCAAGTGAGGGCCCTGACCACCCGAGCGGGGAAAAGGACGTCGGGGGAGAGATGACTCAGGGGAGGTTGACTCATCGATCCTTGAGATGAAACTGGGCTTTCCTCACGCGTTCAAGTCAAGAGACACAAAGCCATTAAGACATATTAAGACAACCCTTTGGATTTGCCAAGTGGCAGTGTCTTTTCTGGTACCAACATCAAGGAAAGGAACATAATTCACCCCCCGCCACGGCAAAATCCGGTGCCGCCTATTTGGGCACGTCACTACGTCACTCATTCCAAGCCCAACTCCCAACACTCCACACTCCCACACGTCGCAAGCACGGCAAAGAAAGCAAACAAGCCGGCCTGCCTAGGGCCTTAGTCGTTCCACTCAGGTACGACCAGCCTTCAGCACAGCTTTTGAGCTCCTTCAAATCCTGGGCGGAACGTTGCTTCGGCTCGGTGCACCGTGCCTGGCTGGCGCTGGATCAGGAGGGCCATTCGATGGACGGGATGCCTTAAAAGGAGGATGCCTGTAGTATGATCAGGTCATCTAAGAACACCAAGCACCATTTTTAAAGGTTGCTGCCATCTACTCACACCCAGAGCTGCTCAGGACGGCAGTGGGTCGATCTCCAAAAAGGAGTTGCGACAGGCCTGTGCCAAGAGGTCGGGGACTGTCAGACACCGTCCGGCGACCGGCGCGAGCGCGAAAACTTCAGACCGAAATGGGCAAGGCTTCCCCAATAGCTACGTTGGTAGCTATTTGCTACACTAGTAGCGATGGCCTCCAACCTTTTTTGGCGATGGCCTCATATGGCCTCCACCGTGCGTAGCTTCTTGTTACTAGTAGTAATGGCCTCCAACGGCCAAGAAATGGTTATGCTGGCCATAAAACAATGCTGAAAAGGCACTGCTTGCGCCTCTCTTTTCTCTTCGATTTGCTGAAACAGCGACGGGTCCCGGCCTTTTTTCTGAGAGGTTGGTGGGGAGGTTGGGGGTCGTAGGCACGGTCGATCGAGGTTGGGCACCTTGGACTGGGGCAACCCTGCTAGACCGCTTTGACAAGGGAGTCTGTGGAAGGAGGATTTCCAGCCCCAGCTGAGATGAAGAGCGTTTTCTGGGTTTGCTGACCTGATCAGGTCAACTGTTTCTGGTTGGGAGCTCAACGAGACACAACTTCTCATTCTTTTCCCTGGTTGAACAAGGGCTCGATCATCCGGTGTCAAGTTCCAAGATCTTTCCCTGTCAACCAACCAACTTCGTCCCACCCGCGGACCCTTGTGCAAGAAGGTTTTTTCCCTGCCATTGATCTAGTCATCAATTCTTTCTGTTTTCTTTATTAAATCAGGTGAACTTGGAGGCCATCGCTTCTAGTAACAAGAAGCTACCAACGTGGCAAGGTGGCTCAATCGAACACATCATCATCTTCGTCCGTATCGGGCTGTTTTCCCAACAAAAGGCCCATCGGGTCCACTGCCTACCGATTCGGGTGCGAAGAAAGAGGTCGTGGAACGGAGACGTGGAGATGCTCTTTCGCTGCTTGGACGTCGAGCAGGACTCGTTTGGCTGCGTTTTTTTCGAGAAGGAAAAGAACTGCCGAAGTGCTTGGGGAAGAACTGATAAGAACTGCTTGAAGTGCGCATGAGGTGGTTTAGAGTTGGAAAGATTGGAACTGATTCACTTCGGGCCCAGCCTCGATATCAGACAGGACCCCTCAGTCAAGTGCACTTTGTTAGAGGTAATTTTCAACTAAATAGTGTGGAGTGACCACACATCCCGATAACCCCTCCCACCATTGAAGGAAAAGACCTGTATCAGTACCAGTGGTTGCAATTTGCAGTGTTGAAGCGGTGCAGGATTCGACATAGGCGTTCCACAACATGACACGGGCCAGTTGATCAAGAACCTTCGCAATCTTTTCATGAGGGATTCTCTAATTCTATTTCTAATTCTATCCAATTCTTGTTTCTAGTAGCTTCTTGCTACTAGTAAGGCCAGGAGCCCCTAGTAGCGATACCCTTTGAGGGATTCTCTATTTGCGCATTTGGCTTGACCGGATTCTCTATCAGTTTCACGCCACGAATGAAAGAGTGACCGCGGAGCGGTTTCCCAGTGAGAGGATCACCACCGGCCCAGCCTCTCCTTGACAGAGATAGGCTTCCTGGACAACTGGGAGGCTCGCAGACGTCGGTCGAGAGATGAAAGATTACTGGGAGATGAGAGACCCAGTGATACGTATTGATACGTGGTACATGTGGGATAGGCGAAAAAGGCCTATTCAACCTCTCCAGGTTCCTTAGTCCACCATGGCCTCAAAGGGCAAAAGCAGATGGAACCTCAAAGGGGCTACTCCTCTGGTTGGCCACTGGATTTTGGACGGGTCGGGATGAGCACAGCCGAGCCGCTGATATGGCGACTTCTTCTTCTAAACGAGCCAAGACGTGCAGGTGTTGTAAGTCTTGTGGGTGAATGCATGGCCAGACAGGTTCCTTCTTGAGGAGTCAGCCAAGCAGCCCCAGCAGGTTCATTCTCCCCCAAAGCGGAGCCTCCACCTCTCAACCACGAGGCGTCGGCGTCGGAGTCGGAGGAGGAGCCCGAAGAGCGACGCCGCGCCGAAAGCTCTCGGAAGGCCAGAGGAGTCCAGAGTGACTCAGGTGGTCTGCTGGGTGTGGTCTGCTCACCAGAGGCGTTGTGGGGGACACCATTTTTCAATCTTTCAAGTGTTTCAGGATGGTTTGAGACAGAAGGCTCAGTGACGCGTTGCTCAAATGTCGCAAAGAACCTCTGGTTGACTGATGGTTTGCTTGGAAGACCTCTCCACGCTCCTGAGCCTCCAAAACACCAGGCGCGCCAGACCTCCGCCCGCCCTCCCCGCCCCGCTGGCGCCGGCACCGCGGGCGCGGCGCTGCCGGAGCTGCGGTCCAGGTCGCAGCCGGAGCGGGACAGGCGCCCGGATGCGCGATCTGCGTGGAAAGGTTTCAAACTGTTTCCCAGCCGGAGAAAGGTGGAAGACTGGACACGTCTCGAAAACTGGACAGCAAGGGGTTTTTTCGGGGGTGGTCCTACAGGATCAAAGAAGCACTTCACTGTCACGACCCAGAATTTGCAAGCCATCGCTATTAGTAGCAAGGTGCATCGCTACTAGGAGCAAGGAGCTCCATGGAGCTGTTGCTGGAACTGCCCTCGCTTCGTGCGAAGGCCCACGGGGCCGGACCTCACGGCGATCCTGCGCGGTGGCTGGGAAGACGGTAAAGGGAGGCGAAGAAAAGAGAAAAGTGGTCTAAGACATGTCAAGATCAGGAAGATCAACCTGAAAACAACCATGTTGACCTTTCATCAAGATCTTGACATGATCTCCTTTGGTTCAAAGACCACAACAATGTTGATGGTTTTCGGCGAGTAGGACAGAGTGGTTTGTTCTTTGCACGCCTTTGACAGCTGAGGCGGGGCCTCCTTTTTCCATATAGAGAAATACCGCTCCGCGCCACCACTCGGACCGTGAAACACGAGATTTGAAGAGGAGACCTAAACCATCCTGAAGTTCTGCTCCAAGAATCCTTGCCTTCATAGCCAGGGCGTGACCCCGGACCCTCCAAAACCTTTCCCTTTGAGGGCCCGGAATTTTAGGCTACTAGGAGCAAGGACGCTGCTCGGGGGGCTCCTGGCATCGCTCCTAGGAGCAAGGAGGCTATAGCTGCTAGGAGCAAGACTAGGGGCTCCTAGCATCGCTACTAGGAGCAAGGATGCTACTAGGGCCTCCTGGCATCCCTACTAGGGGCTCCTGGCATCGCTACTAGGAGCAAGGACGCTACTAGGGGCTCTTGGCATCGCTACTAGGAACCTGTCATCGCTACTAGGAGCAAGGATGCTACTACGGGCTCCTGGCATCGCTACTAGGAGCAACGACGCTACTAGGGGCTCCTGGCATCGCTACTAGGAGCAAGGATGCCACAAGGGGCTCCTGGCATCGCTACTAAGAGCAACGACGCTACTAGGGTCTCCTGAGTCTCCTGGCATCGCCACTAGGAGCAAGGATGCTACTAGGGGCTCCGGACGCTACTAGGGGCTCCCGGCATCGCTACTAGGAGCAAGGATGCTAATACTGGCTCCTGGCATCGCTAATAAGGGCTCCTAGCATCGCTGCTGGGAGCAAGGATGCTACTAGGGGCTCCTGGCATCGCTACGAGGGGCTCCTGGCATCGCTGCTGGGAGCAAGGATGCTACTAGCGGCTCCTGGCATCGCTGCTGGGAGCAAGGATGCTACTAGCGGCTCCTGGCATCGCTTTTAGGAGCAAGGATGCTACTAGGGGCTTCTGGCATCGCTACTAGGGGCTCCTGGCATCGCTGCTGGGAGCAAGGATGCTACTAGGGGCTTCTGGCATCGCTACTAGGGGCTCCTGGCATCGCTTTTAGGAGCAAGGAGCAAGGATGCTACTAGGGGCTCCTGGCATCGCTGCTGGGAGCAAGGATGCTACTAGTCGCTACTAGGGTAGTCGACTTCTTCTCTTCCAGGTGTTCTTTGGGACAGCTGACTTGGCATCCCGAGGCCCTGAGCCGCCGCAGCCGCCCAGACCGCCGCGGCCACGGAAGGAGTTGGGTTGAACGTGCCAACATTGGCCAGCTGCTTTTGACGTGATCCCCAAAAGAATCGAACCGCAGCTTCTGTCGAAACATGTAGTGGAGCCAGTTTCTAATTGAGATGAATCCCACACCATGTTGTTGAGAAGGGCTCCCTAGTTTGCCGAACCCAACTGGCGGTCACCACTTGTGAACCCACTGGTTGGGACGTAGATTGACTAGTGTGTTGACGCCAAATCTGTACTCCAGCCGGACCAGGGTGTGTATCGGGGATCGGTTCAGCAGGCCCGGAGGATGCACAAGATATCATGCCAGCGCTTCGTTGGAATTATGTCGTCCAACTCTACAGCGAGAAAATGAAGGCATGTTGCATGAAGGACGCTGAATCAAGGACGCTGCCATAGGCCATAGGCTCGGCCACAGCCACATTGGTGTCAGGACCCAAGACAGGAGCATGAGCAATGGGTGCAGCAACGGGAGCAGGAAGTGCAGAAGCTCGGCTGCAGACGTTCGGAAGCCCCGGAAAGACGGAAGAGTGGCTGGCTGATGGCATCATCCATGTGTGACAGAAAAGGTTCGTCCAAGAAAGTTCGGATGAACAACATTCGAGTTCGGATGAAGCCCTAGAATAGATATATATATATATATTATAGATACTTGAGCGAGCCGCTTTTCCTTGTTGGACAGGGAGACTTCAAATTCTCGGTCAGAGTTGTAGATCGAGCTGGTGCTTTAAACTTGCACTTTTGTGGGTTAGGGGTGACATTGAAGTGCTTGGCGGACGGACAGCTAGGCAGCTAGTTTTCATTAGTTTTCACAAGTTGAGGATGACGATCTCCAACCAAACAAGCCAAGTTGTAATGACCAACTATAGGACGGTCGTGTGGGTTTCAGCAGTCAGGGGTTTGGACACGAGGCCGGTTCCTCGCAAGCTCGCCTGTCAGGAGCGTCTATCGAGTGGCTTCGGAACGCCAGGTCAACAGTTCGGAGGCCGGGACGAGAAAGGACTTGAAACAACAAATTGAGCCACAGGCCTCCAACCTAAGAGCAATGGCCTCCAACCTACTAGCGATGGCCTCCTTTGAACAAATTGAGCTCCCTCCTTCGGGGCCACAGCCCACACCTCCAGCTTCGGACCCAATCGATGGGAGCAGTTCAACGTGTAGATCCGCCGGTTTTTTTGCATGACCGTTCACCATGATTATAAGCAGTTTTTACATCATGACACACACATACATTGTGACAGAACTTCCAGGTCCTGCATCACCTTGGAACATGTTTACATCATGTCATGTCCATTCTCCAGGTGACAAAGCGTTTGTACCATCCGGAAGTTCGAGATCCAAAGACAGGCGCACAAGAGTGCAGCGTGTCGAGCGCTGGAAGAGTGTCCAGTGTGGTTGGAGCTTTTGCGTCCGAAGGTGATCGCTTGACAGTTGATAGTCGATGTGGGGAGTCTCGAAACGAAGGTTTAGCAGAACCGCATGCAAATGGAAGGAGGAAAGAATGACATGCTAGAGAAAGAGAGAGAGAGGGAGAGAGAGGGAGAGAGAGAGAGAGATAGAGTTCCACATTGTAAGGCGACGACGTGCTTTCCCAAAGATTGTGTAGGCCCACTGGTAAGCGGTTAAGCGATGTTTCTTTTTTAATACCACAGCTTTTGGAATGAAACTTGGTTCCTCCCGAAGTTCGCCACTTCCAGAAGGAGGATCCACGCATTTCATAGCCACTGTCCCTGTCCTGCCCACTTCGCCTTCGCGTCTCGCTCTCGCGCCGCGCGCCCAGCTCGCTCCCAGCGGAGCACGAGGCGTGCCCAGCTGGTTGCACTCCCTGCGCGAGGTCACGCGCTCGAGGAGTGAGGCCCGGCCCGCTCCGGGCGGAGGTTCGTTCCTGCGGAGGGGTGCTGAGCTCGTGGTGGCTTTGGTATCTTCATAAAGGAGACCTTAGGACTACGGTTGATGGACGAAATCCTGCACCACCTCACCACTGAACACCCTGGAAGGGTCGCGAAAAGCAATGTTGGCGCGCCCCCTCATTCAATGTTGGCACGACCCCTCTGAGGAGGTGGTGCAGGATTTTGGACCTTCAACTTGTTGAAATTTCTCACTTCTCACTGTGGTGGCCCCAATGTTAACGAGGGAGAACGAGGGCAGCAAGAGAACTGTGCGCAAAGTGGTGCAGGATTTTGTCCATCAACAGTACCACTGAAAAGGTGATACGTGGTGAAGAACAGGAACACAAACAGGGAGTCGTGGCATAGAGTGACGGAGTCGGAGCTCTGGACATCAAGGGCTTTCAGAAAAACCACTCAGCGCATAGAGTGGGAGCTCCACCAGCCTGCGCGCAGTCGAAGCGAGCGCATAGAGTGGGAGTTGCCTTTTGCAGGCCAATTCTTGTCAACAGCTGCTCCAAAATCGGTTGGGGCACGGACGAGATGTCAGAGTCTGGCACATGGTTTCCTGTTTGGCATCCCAAATCTTCTAGAAGCCAAATGATGCCTCACTTGGATTGCAAGACAACTCTCAAGCCCAAGAATCAGCAAAACCATGTAAAGCCTCATTCTTCCCATCCCTTGCTCCATCTTCCCGCTCTTCCGCGTTGGTCACCGTCCACCAGGCGCTGCTGCCCCGGCGCCCGGGCGACGCGTCCCGCGACGTGTCCCGCGGCACGTCCCGCAACCCGTCCCGCGGCTCAGCGTCGAGGGCTCGCGAGGCAAGTCGGAAAGGGGGAAAGAGGTGGAGAAGATGGGGAAGACGGGCGAAGTGGTGGTTTTGGGGTGGTCAAACTTGGTGAGATGGAGGCAGCCAAGGCTCAAGAATTGGTCTGGTGAGATGGAGACATCCATCTCGCCACGGGGGCATGTTCACTGAGTTTGTCGAAATATTCTAAGGCACGTTGTAGCTCCACGTTGTGGAGAGGTAGCTCTCAAGCAAAAATGGCCACGCATCTGGATGGCAGAGGAACCATGAGGAACCTTGTCTTCTGGAATGGCAGACGCTTGAGTAATTTTTATAGCTTTATCTGGAGTTCGTTGGATGGAGCTGTCCAATGCCATCTGATCAGATGATCTCCACATGGCTTGGCGTTTTGATGGCTAGATTTCGCTGGGGCTTTGGATGGGACGAGAGCATCAGACATGCGAGTAGTGCAGTCTTGAGTCTTTAAGTACCCTCCTCCTTTGTTTCTAGTAGCTTCTTGTTACTACTAGCGATGGCCTCCAACCTACTTGCGATGGCCTCCACCTAAGGACCTGATAGCGTCCTTCCATAGTCTATCCGAACTGAACTAATTGATACGACAACATCCCTAGTGATACGACAACATCCCTGGGTGACCGTGTACATTTAGCTGACATTGGAATCCGGCAGCTCCAATCAGGCGATGGGACTGGGTAGGTCAGACAATCACCACCATTTTTGGGGGTAAAGAAGCGGAGCTTGAGAAGCCAAATCCTCTGTTCATTTTCTTACTCATTTTTCTAGCCACGGGTCACTCCATGACCCAGCCATTTGCTTTGCTTAATCAGCCGTCGTTGCTTTGCTCGGCGCAGGCGGAGTCTCCGACGGATCCCATCTATCGCTACGGTGGGACGACGCGTTGGCGCTGCGTCGTCGCATGGGACGATGGGACACCTCAGTCGTGGCATGTTGGCCACGAGGGGACTTTCTCAACGGAAAAGCTCAGGGCTGCTCAGTGAAATTCTTCCTTCCAGAGTGGGAGGTGGTGAGACCAAGAATGTGGATTATCAAAGTGGCAGCAAGAACAGCAAACATGGAATAGAATTCTCCATTCACGCAAGGCCATGATCAGTATGGCTCGGGTGATGGCGGCACCAGCAGTGTGGCTCATCACCCGCAGCAGTGTGTTAGGGAGTTTAAACTGAGGAAAGCGCTTGGTTGGCTCAGATAGTTTGACGGACTTCTGAAATTTTAGGAGTTGAAGCGAAGAACATGGCCCGCAAGCCATCCCTCTTTTTCGGCACTGCGTCCACTCGACCCCAGAAGTTGAAGAAGCTGCAGGAGCCCCTATAGTAATCCAATGTAATCCAATGGTTCCATTACGTAGGAGAAGACCACCATCGGCAAAGAGCTTCTGCTTTTGACTTTGTTTTTTAATTCTTCATCCGTTCAAGAGCAGTCCAGGCAGTCACGGCACGGTGGTGGCGCCCTTCCACCTCAACGAGCTCAATCTGCAGCCTCTGCAGGGGGAGGAGATGTCCAGGCGTCGCTTTGGTCCCAAGAGACCCGACAGCGACCGACGACAGCGGGTTCTTCGAAGCGTCGACCGCGTCGACGCCAGCGTCGCGACAACCATGGCGGCCGGAGTCGATGAAGGGTCGTCTTCCTGGGAGTTCAGGGAACGACCGTCTAGTGACAAAGGCTTGAAAGGACTTGTGGAACATCATGATGATTTTTGCAAATCCCTTCTCATATGCCTGGGGCTGTTTGACGGATATCCAGGATAGTTCACAAGTCCTGGAGTCCTTTCTCATCAGATGCTAGTATACTATTTCTATATGACTCTGACCCATTCTGACCCATTAAGTGCCTTGATCAAGAAGTCGAGGGCAGCTGAACTATGCAAATGGACGTGTTGGATGCAGATGATCTCCGCCGCAAAATAGTACTGGGCAAAGGACATGCCTCCCCACCCACAATGGGGACTTTGCACCTGACCTTGTGTGGCTTGGATGTATTTTGTGATATTTGAACACATGGCGCAGGTTTGTTTATGTTTGTTGGCTTGCTGATGAGACGATGCTTTTTTACCGCACGTCAAGGTCGAAAAAACGCTCCACCCTGTCACCCTGTTGGTCAATGCAGTAACAACCAGTCGTTGTAGATCAACACATCAACACCAGCATGACAAAATCCACCATCGACGTCCATTTCGTCCTTCTTCCAGCTCAGCATAGTATCATGATTTATCATATATTCTATCTCCAAGCACCTGGAGGCACGTTGGGGACCCCAAATCTTTGCTTGCCTTCCTTGTTGGATATCCAGTTCATGGCTAGGCCGGGTTAAGGATAGGATCTTCAGCTTGACTCTGTCCGCGGATGCTTTGAGGTGGCTGAAGCACTGAAGCGGCGGTCATTTGTACATATTCCCACTTGAAGCGGGGTCCGGTCATGGTCATGCACAAGCCGTCGGCCCCACGGTGTCCGTTGCGCGCGTGCGAAGGTCAGCGTCAAGCCCCATGTGCTAATGTGCCATGGAAGCTCCTGGGAACTCCCGATACAACGCCGAGCCGATGTGTCCTGAAAAGGAAAAGCATACGGACAGGGATGAAGGCTTGGGACGCATATGATAGGCATACGACCTGGTGATGCTGGTGCCATGATGTTTGGATCACCTTAAGGATGCCTGCGAACTGCAGAAAGTCAGAGTTGATATCAGAGCAACAAACTGCGAATGACAGGAGGGAAGGCAAAGAGTGGGTCTGCAGCGCCTCGTTCGTGGCCCGGCTGATTCGTGGCGCGTTTTTTGTGTTCGTGGCTTTCCATCCTTGGGGATGTTTACATGTTTCATCTGACTCTTCAAGCAGGAAGTAGCGGACTCTTGGGGCCATCGCCATTAGGTTGGAGGCCATTGCTACTAGTAAAGACAAACTACTAGGAACTAAGGGCATCGCTACTAGGAGCAAGGACGCTACTAGTAGCTCCTGGCCTTACTACTAGGAACAAAAAGCTACTAGTAGCAAGGTGCATCGCTACTAGCCAGTTGACTAACGTCACACAGAGGATCCAGGCGCCGCCTCGGCGGCGCCGCCGATCTCTGGCAGATAGGAGTTTGTTTACGGCAGGCAGATGAGTCCTTTGACGCCCCGTTTAGGCTTGACATGCTTGGCAGCTTCATGTCCCAGAAAGACATATGGAAGCGCTGCCAAGTAGGGTTCGCAAAGTAAGTAGGTTCTTGTTCCAAGACCAAACGGCTTTTCTCCTTCCACTTCCACTTCCATGTTATTGTTTGGAGATCTTTGGAGTGTATCCCTTGTCTTTTGTCCAACTCAGCAGTGCTTTTCATTTGTCCTTCGAGGGGTGGATATAGACATGTACATCTATGTGGAAGGATGCGTTCAAAGTCATTCAAAGTCCATCACTATACACTCCCCCTGCTGCAGGTCCAGGGTTGAGCAGCCACCGCCGTAGTGGACGAATCGAACCAAGAGCTCGTTTTTTGCGAGCGGAAGCAGGGGTATTTGCCTTGAGATGTTCAGCAGTCGTCAGTCGTCACTAAATCCTTTTGTTCTCCAAGAGTGGGCATGGCATGGCCAGGTCGATTTCTCCATCCTCCCACAGGTCGATGCCACGCTCTGATCCCCGCTCGACCGCCCTGCTCCAGGTTCATCAGAAACTCGAGGCCAAAACCCAGGCGACGATGACACTCTTCGGCACGCGTGCGTTCGTCCGTGCGGACGGAATCAGACTCCAGGCTCCGTGATCCTTCCAGTAGGAAGCTACGAACGGAACAAGTGCATCGCTACTAGAAACAAGTGCCTTACTAGTAGTAACAAAAAGAATTTACTTAGAATTGTAATTACTAGCAAAGGAATCTACTGTAAGTCCAACACAGATTCTTCTATCAGGGCCCGACCGAGCAGGTCCAAAACCTTCGAACGAGTCTTACTGAAGGAAACGGTTTGCTAATACCAAGACAGTTTCAAAGGAACTCAAGTTTGGGTATCACTTCTATATATATATACTGGTGTGGTTTCTCCTCATCCTTTACGCTGCCAGATGTTTGCGATCCACATAGATCCTGGATCGACTAACCGCCGAAGAATTTCGCACAACAATTCCACAGATCTGGGCCATTGTGGCATGTTGAGGCAATATTGGAAGGCACTAAAGTACAAATTTTGGGGTGTCTTCCAATAGTTGAATGAGTTTCTGAACCTCCATGTGAGTTTCATGAGTTGACAGGTTCACCTATCGGTTATCTCCCCAATCACGTGAGACAAAAGGTCTAGGTTCACCTGTCTCCACTTGACTAGAAGTCTTCACATCCGGGCCCCCAAAACATGTAGACCGAACACCTGTCAGACAGATGAGGGGTGATAGAGATGAGATGCATGTGCAGCTCCAGCTGCCGAAAGACCCCCAATTGATGTTGGTGCACAAAGCCTAGTCCAGCATGGTTGATTTTCATCATCCCTCATGTCTAGAACTCTCACGCTGTGCTGTGCAGGACAAACGCAGGAAACCCGGGGTAGCGGCTCTTCTCCGGGTTCAGCAAAAAATCATGCACGTTAACAATACACCGCACGGCGGCCACAACATGTCTGCAGGTGATCAAATGGACGGCAGATGAAGGGTTTGGGGCCCCAGTTGAGAGGCTGAGAGAAGGCTGAGAGATTGGAGGTTCATCAAAAGGCTCGGAGCAGTTGGGCATGTCGCAGACTCACTGAAGCAGAGTTTGGGAAGCGAGGGGATATGGAGTGGCACCAAGAAACAGTTGGAGACTCTTTGGCAACTGTGCTTGTTTAGTAGAGGCAACCTATTGAAGTGCTGAAGCCTCGGGTTCATAGAGATTCTCTAAAGACATGTGGCCAGCTTCGACTTCGCCATGCTTAAATGGAACGAGATCGACATGAATGAGATGTATCAACATCCAACCATCAACCGCTCCTCCTCAACCGCTCCTCCCAACCATTCCCTCTCTCACCTCCGGTGTTTTGCTTGTACGACATCAACGTGGTCCAGATGCGCGAGGCTGTGCGCCCGTTTGCTGCCGGAGGGTGACGTGGAGGTGCACTGCGGGGCGGAGCTGACAGACAGCCCGCTGCTCTTCAAGTCGGGCGGCCAAGTCCGACGCGAATGGCTTCGACGGCTTCGATGGCCTCCAACCTAATAGTAACAAGGACGCTACGTTCGGACCAAAGGGCATCGCCACGAATGGAAAAAGGAAGCTACTAGTGGCTCCTGGCCTTACTACTAGGAACAAGAAGCCACTTTTGGACCTTTCTTCCTTTTTCTTTTTCCTTGTTTCTATAATAGCAATGGCCTCCAACCTTTGAGCGATGGCTCAGGGCAAGATAATGGGCTCAGAAAAGAAGAACAAGACTAGTCAAGGCTTGTGTGAGCAAATTTGATGCTTTTGCTCGAACATGGCAGAAATAGTACAGGCATCCACGACGGCCTGATCTTTCAACATCAGACTTCCTGACTTCCAGACTTCACCCGAAAAACCCGAAAAACCTCCAAGCCCTCCCAGAAAAAAGGCTGCCACGCTCCTCATCGCCCTCCACCCACCGCCCTCTCCACGCTCGAACCTGAACCTGACCGATCCCATTTGGGCAACCGGGCGCAGCTTCGCCACGCCGAAAAAGGGCGCCTCGAAACCAGGTTCGCAAGGGCCGCTGGGGACTTTGAGTTCGCCGGCGCCTCGAAGCTGGCGATCTTCGTGCCGAAGCCCAGCTGACCGTGGCGCGTTCGGTGTGCGGCAGCGACCGGAGGTTCCTTTTTGGGTCTGAAAAGGAGTGAACAATAGAGATGTCAGAAGTGTCCGACACATCTGAAGTTTCGAAATGATTCGATTCTTTTTTAACCACGCAAGCCAGTCCATTTAGGCTTCATGTCCCTTTGTCTGGGGAGGCAACAGAGGGATCCTTGGACGTCTGAAACACCGCCCAGCTCAGTTTCTTAGTTGACACCAGTTCAAAAGGCCCACACGAGCGATGGTCTCCAACCTACTAGCGATGGCCTCCACCCTAGTAGCACGGACGCTGCTAGTAGTAATGCCCGAGCTACTAGTAGCGTTCTTGCTCCTAGTAGCGATGCCCTTGTTACTAACAGCGATGGCCTCCACTCCAACCGAGTTCAAACGGCCCACGTTATGCTGAAATCTTGTGCTGCTCTCTTCAGCTGTGCCCGTCGGCTGCTAAACCTCTCAGCCGAAGCTGTTCTGGACCGACACAAGGACGTCCAGGTGTCAGCGCCGAGGCTCCGAGAAATACGGAAGGCTCCGGACCCGGAGCTCCAAAATCGCTCGGACGCCAGAGTTGCAAGGCTCAAAGAGACCAGGCACAGCAATTCATCTCGAGAGCTGGGACGTTGGAGCAAATTGGATACCTTCAGCATCCTTCGACAGTTGCACTTCTGTTGGGTGGAGGACCAGTTCAAAGGAGATGCCGTTCTCGATGCCCAGCGGCATCCGGTTCTCCTCAGCAACCCTACCACACACGCAGAATGATCGAGCCAGCTACAAAGAGGCGGGGGTGTCTTCCAAGTCCTCCTTCGACACACACACACACACACACACTCTGACATTGGTTTTCAGTTAACTCAATTGCCACGATGGGAAGGAAGGTGAGAAACGGTATGGTGGAGAGTCCACAATACTTGAAGATG